CAGTGGCTGGCTCAGTGTGACCCCTTCAAGAAATCTGATTCAGTATACCTGAGTGTGATAGCCAATGTGTTACAAAAAAATAATAATAGCAACCCCCCAAATAATAAAATAACCAGTCATTTGTGTCACAGAGCTTCAACTGGTCTTCTGATATCACACACTGTGTTCATATATACACTTGCTTTTCATGATCTATGTAGAAGCTGGTGTAGTAAACCGCATTGTTTCACAAAATGATTCTCCCCGCCTAGCCATTAATCTTTTAAACATCTCGGCCATATACCATCTTATGCAGTACAAATGTAACAGTCATCTAAAGAAAATGGATTAACTGTTACACGTAGTTAAGAAAGCTTTGCGAAATGTATACTCTGAAATTACTAATTTGAAGTGAAAATAAATCTTATGCTTTAACAAAGATCAGCTGTGTAGGTCTAGAAATAAATATGTTGAGCTCTATACCATAATTGCTCAAGGACATAAAATTTCACTACGCTATATTTAGAACTTGCTTTAAATAGAGTTCCAACCCAAAGATTATAGAATGAAAATAATTAAGAGGATGGCTGCAGTGTAATTTGTACAGAACAAAGGAAAAGAGGGAGAGTGAATCTTAACCATCTAAATCGAGAAACCAGAAGTTCTATTTATTATCCTTTTATCTGAGTTAAGTGGTAGCATTTCAGATTCCCCAAAATTAACATTACAACCTGACAGTGGATTGCAATCTGGTGAATGATTTTATTCCGATTTCTATCTCTAAATTATTTCTCCAAATCTGACAATGTCCAAGTTACATGGTGTGCATATAAAGATACTTTATTCTCTTATGCTCTTTTAGGATTCTTGGATCCCGGTCTTCCTAATCTTTGTATTCTTCCTCAATTAATTATATACATGCTATATACATGAATGGACCAAATGCCTCGTTTGGCCCAAACACTTGGACGTGTGGGAAAGAACATGGAGACCTGATTGTTTTTCTAAAGAGAGGTCACAGAAACAGGACATTATTTTAGGGATTGAGAAAAGGCTTCCATATTAGAATGTGATGGGCGAGGCAGACCCACTATGCACTAGGTTCTGAGCAGGTGGGCCACTTTTGCTTACCAAGATGAAGAAGGGGAGGGGAGACATGGTGCAAATGTACTGTCAGAATCAATAGTGATCCAACTGCCAGGAAACCGGTGTAGTGTTTCTGCCCCTTTGAAAAGGGACACATAAGAAAGGCAACTGATTTGTTGGTGGCAAATATCTGTTGATGGCAGTGATAGACTAGTCAAGCATGAGCTGTAATATATTGTCAGGCTTCAGGGAATCGGCTCCCCCCCACCCCCAGCAGTACATAAACAGAACAAAGGAAAATGAGTCTTCTTACCAGTTAGAAACTTTAATGATCACAGCCAGAGAACAAATAATCCGTTTCCTAGGAATGGCGGTGCTCCCAATTAAGGGCTCCACCCACTTCCTCCCTAGTCACCCACATCACTACCACGTCTTGTAACCTGAGCTCATAATCTCTGTGCTTTCTGTTCCGCTACCTTATCAGCTCTTCTTGACCTTAGGCTGGGCGGATGAATGCTTTCCAGAGACAGTGAATCTGTTAACTCTCTCTCTTTCCCAGTGCTTCTTCTCCTAGCTGTTCCCCATCCAGTATTTTCCAGCTTCTGCCTTCTGAACTATGTCCCTCTGCAAACCACTGTTCCAAATCTATACTGCTCCTGGGAAGATTCAGGATCCTGATCAGGATCAAGGGGAGGGGGAGGCTCCCACAATTTCTCCTCAGCACAGCCCTCCTTAGCACAGTCCCTGACATATATGGGGGAGAGGGGACAACAACCCATATCTGATAAAAATGGAAGACAGACTTGAGCAGAATAATATAGTTGCAGTAGAAAAGAGATTCCGAATAAACATCAGGAAAAACGTTCTGACAGTAAGAGCTGTTCAATGGTGGGACGGTCTCCTTCTGGAGGTTGTGGACTCTCCTTCCTTGAAGGTTTTTAAGCAGAGGTTGAACTAGATGGCCCTTGGTCTTTTCCCCCAACTCTACAATTCTATGATTAGACACTGAGAGCCATTGCAAATTTCAGCTCGGTATCTTTAGTGACAAGCACTGTTTCAACACCAAAAGGCAAATGTGCAATGTTGACTTTTCCTTTTCACACGCTATCACAGTTTCCGTAATTAAAATGTCTTAAATATTGTCACATCAGAGGTAAAAGAGACGAGAGGGAGGGAAACGTTGCGTATGTGGTGCAAGATCCAGAAATGTTAAAATGTCAGTGGTGTCCTCAGGATACTTTAACAAGCTGGAGTAAGCGAGAAGGGAGGGTCACTATTTTTATGCTTAATTAAAAACAAATTTAATTTTAGAAAATATAAAAAAATCTCCATGACTTGCTTAACCCTGATTAGTTAGGGTGCACCGCAGTAGCGATGGATTTACAATGGTTTAATTGTGATTCGAGATCTCTGGGCAGCTGGCACTGAAAATAGCATGTTAACCAATCAGCCCCTGTATCAAAGCAAATGCTGTACGTTTCATTATGGCTTGAGCATGTGCATGTAAATTAATTACTGCTTTCTTAATTAGAGATTCAATTAGAGACTTCCTAATCCCAGCACCACCATTTACTCTGTGTTACAAGATTGTGAGCTGAGGAGCCCCACCTTAGTACAGCTACTCTTGAGTTTATCAGTAACCACACTATTTCCGACTGGTGCTGAGCACTGGTTTCAAATTCTCAACCCATGTATTTACAGCAGAAGCACACATTTCCACTGACTTCACATATGATGGGGTGCCATTTTTCCTACATGGAAGCTATAATGCAGGGTTGGGGTAGAAGTGGAGCAGAGGGCTAGAGCAGATATAATTCCCACTATTCTGATAGCTGGCCATTCTGACTAGAGCTGAGTGATGGATGTCCGGCAACATATGGAAGGCTGCAGGCTCCGCAACCCTGGTATCAAAAACCCACTGCCAGTAGTAAAAGTATGTGTGTGAAGTGTCAGGAGCTCAGTCTACACTCGAGTAGGACCCTGGCAAAGACACATACCCGACTGGCATGTTCTCTCCCTCCTGGTCTTTTGTTCGGAAGCTTCAAAAGCTTTCTTCAGCCCGAACATCACAGTGACCAATGCCAACAGACATTGGCACACTTAGGAATCAGCGGAGTCTTCGCAGCTTGCGTAACAGACCTCAGCAAATCAGCATTTTGGCTAATCTACTTTATTTACATATAAACACACACGGAGCACTGCAACATGGCTCCCTCTCTCTCTAGCATCAGACAGCAAAGAGAAAAAGAACAAAGGACTAGTCCCACTTCACAGAACACAGTAACACAAACATCCTGTCTCCATCACTTCCCACTCTGTGGAGTCAAAACATACCATGTCATGTGAAAGACAAAAATCCTATGACTGCAATCATGGAGCAGGAATTCTAACATGAAGTGTGCACGCAGCATCAAAAGCCCATTGCTTTTTTTCTTTAAAAAAAATGTTTAGGGTTACTCTCATTCTGTCTGAGCCTCAGGAAACACCGTGACAGGAAATGAGGCCGCCATCGGATGTAGCAACGGAACTGACGATTCACCATGCTACAGAAAAAACTATTTTTTATTTTTTAGTTTTAGTTTCTTCTTCCGTTAGATTCACAAAATGTTTAGGGTATGCATACCCTTGAATCTCCTTAGAAAAAAAGCACTGCAAGAGCCCATTAAAGACTGCCAATGTGAATACTCTCAATAAAATCATGAGAATGTTCCCCCCTCACAACGTTCCCCCTTCCCCAAGAAAAAGAGGGGCATTTCCCAAACATTCTCCACCATTTTTCGTGGCAACCACCATTTCCCTCACCCCCACAACATCCCATAACAATGAATTGTAGGGGTGCAAAATGGTGGCCAGGTTGACAACAAGGGGGGGGGGAGAAGGCTATTCTGCTGCCACTGCTACCTACAAGCCCACCCCTAAGAAACCATTGGTGAATTTCTCTTCCCCCTGAAGAATATTGGACAAAGCAGTTCCCATCTGCTTAGGGCAGTGAATTTTGGAGAGGTCATTGTATTTCAGGTCCAACAAGAGCATAGGTGAACCCATTGTCATCTTCCTCAAGTGAATCCATCACGAGAAAGTCTCAATAAAATACAGATATATTATAGATTATATATATAAAATGACCAAACATATTTGGGAAGTTTCCCTTTTGCTGAATAATGCATAAAGCAGAAGAATGGCTGATAAAGATGCTGGACTATGTCAAATTGGTGAAAATGATCGGAGAAATCAGAGATCAAGAGAACAATAAGTTTAATAAAGAATGGGGAAATTTTTTAAGTTACCTCAAAAAAACGGTAAACAATTGAAAACAATGGCAGGATTTTAAAAACACTTGCAATGAAGCGAAAACTATGTTAAAAATTGAGGTTTAAGAAAATATGGGAAATATGATACGATGCAGTTTGAAAAGAATGTTTGGGGAAACCACGGAAGGGGATTCTGAGAATCCTAGTTGTAAAATGCTTATGATTTGATGAAAAATGTTAAAAGTTAATATATGTGTGTGTGTATATGCATTATACACACACACACACACACACACACACACACACACATATGCATAAAGCAAATCTCAGTCACCGTCTCCCAGCTTAACCTACCACACAGGCAGGGGCATTAACTTGGGCCCCACAAGTGGGTGTCCAGTGCGCACACATACACTGTGTTGTGATGCGATGACATCACACATGATGACACCATGACATCACATGTGACGGTGCAGCATGCACGCTCCAGCACCGTGGCAGTGACTGGATCAGGGCCTGCACCTCTGCTGCAGGGACTTGAGGTGGAGGTGCAGGCCCCGGTTCAGTCACCGCCACAGCACCGGAACGCAAGAGGTAAGGCAGTGGCTGTGGTGCGTGGCAGGTGGCAAGAGTCACTCATGCATGCTGCCCTCAAGCTGACCAGTTGGCTCAGGGTAGCAACTATCATAGCTAAGCTGGTTCAGTTGGTAGAACATGAGACTCTTCATCTTAGGGTTGTGGGTTCGAGCCCCATGTTGGGAAAAAGATTCCTGCATTGCAGGGGGTTGGACTCGATGGCCCTCGTGGTTCCTCCCAATTCTACAATTTTATGCTGGGAGATAAGGAAAGTTGATTCCACCCTGCACTTCCAGGGGGGGAAGCTTTCTCGGAGCTTAATTCTACACAGAGAGAGAGAGAGAGAGAGAGAGAGAGAGAGAGAGAAAGAAAGAGAAAGAGAGAGATTCAGTGTGTGGGGAGGGAATAAAAAGAGATCTGTCCCTTCATTTCCCTTCTTTTCCGGCGCTCAATTGAAGTATAACTAAAGTGTGTTTTAAAAGAGGCCTCAGCATCTTAACAAGAGGTCAGTAGTGGTGAGCACTTTTTTTAAAAAAGTATCAAATAAAGTTGTTTCATTTTATCTTAAAACTAACACAGTTAGTTACTGAAGCCTGCCATCCTAAACTCCCTTACAAGGAAGTAAAATCCCTTCTGTGTAAACTTACATAGGATTGAAATGCTGAAATCTAGGGACTTATATATTAAATACAACATATTCTGAAGGCATGCCAACCTAAAAAAAGTTGTGTGTTGTTTGGTTTATTTTTAAACGTTGACGATAATGATGAAATAGCTTTTTTCAATTCATTTTTTTAAAAAAAGATTGGGATATTTATCAGTGTTATTACTTTAGATGTGAAAAATGTTCAGATACGTACTGGCAGGCTGCCTCCAAAAGTAATAGCATAATAATATTCACGATACCCGACAAAATTAATACAGGGTGAGATGACTCTTTCATCACAGCAGGAAAACTCAAAGGGGGGAAAAAACCACTGTCCTGAATATGGATCAAGGTTTTGTGCATTTAAAAGGGCAAGCCATTCAGGTACATGGTGATGCAGAAATGTTTATCTTAGACTGAGATTAAGACGTGCTGTCTGAGTATGCAGCAGCCCTTAAAATGCAATGATGCCCTTGGAATTCTGAATAATTTTCATAATCAAAGACATATACCACCCCGCACTGCAAGAAAAACTTCCTACATTACATTTAGAAGACATGAACGTACCTCTGCATTATAGCATGTCTAAAATCCTCTTAACACATATGGGGCATACTCCAGACCCTCCAAGTTTCCCTATTTTTCAGGGACAGTCCCAGATTTACAGAAGTCGTTCGGGTTTCTGATTTGATCTCGGAATGTCCCGCTTTTCCTTAATTTGTCCCTAATTTCATCGGAGAAATGTTGGAGGCTATGGAGTTATGCCACCCTTGAGCCAACGAGAGAAGTAACTATACACCCCTCTGTAGACATCTGAAAGCACATCCGTATACCATTTTTTTAAAAAAAAATTGAATGCTTTATTACATTTTTATATATGTTGGAAACTGTTCAGAGTGGCTGGGGCAACCCAATCAGAAGGGTGGGGTATAAATAATAAAATTATTATTATTATTATTATTATTATTATTATTATTAGGAGTATTTAGGGCATCCCTATTTTCATTGGAGAAATGTTGGAGCGTATGATATTCCAGTCCTCTCCTTGCAATCTGTTGAGCATGCAGAAAGGAGTCCTTGAATGGATATTTCAGTGTCTGGAGCATGAGAAACTTGTATGCACAGCCCTGTAGAGGAGAAGCATGGGTGGTACTACATACAGAAAGCACAGGCAGGTATCCCATAGCAGAGAACTGTCAATATCCTGTAATGTCTACGTGCTCATGGAGCCCCTCCTGCACGCAAAAATATGCCCAACTTGTATCTGCCTTCAAGGAGAATGCTGAGAAACCAGAGTCTTTTTTGGAGAGAGCAGTACTCTTCACCATTTATATCTGAATAAGATTTCAAGCGTTAGGATGAGATGCAGGGCCGCTCCTGCAACACACAGTAGTTATAAAAAACTAAGAGCCCAACACAATGCTAAATGTGTTGTTAGGACATTAGATAGTGGTTAGATAGATATAGATAGATGATAGATAGAGATGATAGATAGATAGATGATAGATGATAGATAGATGATAGATAGATAGATAGATAGATAGATAGATAGATAGATGATAGATAGATAGATAGATGATAGATAGATTAGATAGATAGATAGATAGATAGATAGATAGATGATAGATAGATAGATGATAGATAGAGATAGATAGATGATAGATAGATAGATAGATAGATAGATAGAGATAGATAGATGATAGATAGATAGATATAGATATAGATGATAGATTAGATAGATGATAGATAGATGATAGATAGATAGATAGATAGATAGATAGATAGATAGATAGATAGATGATAGATAGATAGATGATAGATAGATAGGTGATAGATAGATGATAGATAGATAGATAGATAGATAGATAGATAGATATAGATATATAGCCATTGCAAGGGCCCCAATTTTAATCAGGATCATAGCATGAAGGGAAGGGAGGTTTAACCCTTTCCCTGCTCACCATGATCCCAATGAAAACCCACCCCTTCCTGTGGTTAGCCCTTCTTTGTGAGGGAGAAATTGTCATTTGAGTAATGTAGGGGGAAGGGTTAAGCCTCCTACCTCCATACAATACAATATTGATGGAAATAAGTCCCATTGATGGGTTTCCTAATGAGGTGTTTAGCATCGCATCTAGTTTGGCTGTAAAGTAACTCCCAAGCTAAGAATTAATGTGGAATGTAATATAACAAAGGAAGAAAGTAAAAAAAAAAAAAAACTCCAGCATGGATACAGGTGAGTAACAAAGAAGTCTAGTCGTAAAGTCAGAGGAACCATTTGCAAGATGCCAGCTTCAGCTGCTGTCAATTATTTTCCCCTTCTAACAAAGATATAAGTCTTCAGTCTTTTTGTTATGCACACCGTAACATATGAATGCAAAATCATTCAACTAAAAATTGAGGATGAATTTCAGAAAGAATCGTGCAATGGAAAGGATTTAGAGTAAACAAAAAGGCATTTCAAATGGTTCAACAGCCCTTCCCATTAAAAGCAACATATTTGGAGAAGGAGAAAAGATAGGGGTATTTTTTTTAAAAAGCATGACACCTGACCATAGGTGGCATGCCATAGCGCAGCTCCTTTGAAGTGCAGTGCTTCTCAAATGGGAGAAATCGCTGATATGTATTGCAATATTTATAGCTTAATTCACAGCTCATAAGTGACAATGTTGAAATCAACTATTGAATGCTGCAACTGGAAATTTAAGAAGCCCAGCTGTTCTAACTTCTGGCCACCCTTGTCTTTGAATGTGACCATTGCACATTCTTCAAAGATTTTGTTACTTTCATGCATCAGAAGTAAATTATTAATGTCATATTAATAGTGCAATCCTATGAATGTCAGCTCATTACTCATGAGTCTCATTAAGTTCAATGGGACTGCATTACATGGGAAAATTTCAAGGCTTCCGTCTGAAAATGAGCTTTCCATGCCAGTTTTTCTGGTGCAGGTTTTGAGATTCTTTTCATTCCAAACAATAAATTTCAGACAAGGAGCAGCAGCAATTTTCAAAGAAGAAAAAACATTTATGCATATGATCATTTGCTATAATTTGATTTATCCAAACAAAGGGGGAGATCAACCAAAATATTTGAGTTGCCAGAAACTAGCAAAAGAGAAAGAAAAGTGTGTTAATGGCTGATTCACACATATGCACATTTTATTCGATTTCATGATGACTGGCAGCTGAAATGTGTGAACTAGAAAATTATTGTGCTTGAGATAATATATGCAGCGATGGGGAAGTTCTATCACATTATATGTATAAGTCATCATCATGTTGCAGTCATCAATTGATAAGCTTGCATGTGACAACTAGCCATAAGTTGCAGAAACTTACAGTGATATAAGACCGGGTGTTTAGATCAGGAAAGGGATGTTATGACTGCATGTTGTGTAAACCATTTAGAGAGTGAAGGTAATATTATACATAAACAGATCAGATAAAGGAAATTGTGTATTTTTTCATTCAATGAATATAATTAAATGTAGTAACGGCAAGCTCCTAGATAAAGATTATTAATGTTTCCGGTTCTATGCAAAATTATACATTGTAGTGTGTAACATAACACAGCAGGAAAGTAATGTAAAGATGCTTTCTTTTTTTAAAAAAAATAGTACTTTGTAGCTTATTCCACATCATTTTACATCATTCACATGGTACTACTGTCTACAGACAAAAGCTGTGCTGGTAGCTATTTCACAGAAAGTCTTATCCAAAGTTTATTGCAATCGACTGAAGTTTCATTGACCTGATTCCCAAGATCTTTGAATTACGTCATCCAATCATTGAACTAAGGATGATTCTTAAACATTTCACAATATATATTCTGCGACTGCTTCACATGCGATACATCAAGTTTTATACTTCCCGGTTCTGTAAATCCAATGAAAAGGCTACTTTGATTAGAATGTATATTTATGAATAGATCCCTTCCATTTTCTACTCTGTAATAATAGCATTTATACACGTCAGACAAGCAAATGCATTTTAGCATCACATATGAAAATTTCCTAAGTCTGCTCTTGAACAAACAATGTTTTGCTGTGCATGCATTATAAACAATCATATGTTTCTTCTTTAAAAAGTCCAGTTTACGGTACAGTCCTGATAATGATGGCATGCCTCATAAACTAGGGAAACCGAAATAGAACGTCACACAGATGTTGGTTTTCCCCAGCTCCCCAAACTATTCAGTAACTGATCAAAATTGATCAATATTTAGCCAAGAAACTGGAACAAAATAACCTTTTGAATGACATTCACAAAGCTTTATAAAGTTAACAGTACATATTATATACTCATCCAAAATGAATACTAAGAAGTCTGCCCTAGCTTTCCACTCTGCCTTGCCTTTTCTTCATCCAAAGTTATCCCACATCATTAGCAATGGTGGTATATGGTGGCCATAGCAGTACCTTCCGAAGCCAGAAAAGATTTTCTTTTCCTGCAAATATTTAAGCATTTTCTATTTCTAGTTGGGCGAAAAAACAAAACCAAACAAAATCCAGCGGGGGGAAATGAAACCACCCGTATTC